GTGCCTGCAAGACCTGTCTTGGACTGTATTTCTGTCATCCAAATAAACCTTCTGCTTTACTGGCTGGCTGAGGGTCATGGTGAATCGCAGGAGGCCGGGGGCGCAGGGCCCTGAGTCCTCCAATACTCCGTGACAGTGATATGATTGAATTTTCTCACCTGTTCAAACTTACCTCAGAGCGATTCTTCAACTCAGAAGAACAGGGGAGAAAATCAAATGATTCCAACCTCACTCACTAGCAGAAGCTGGTCCAATACAAGATATTCCCTCCCCCAACCTTGTCTCCCTCGTACCCGGCTACACCAACCCTGCAAACAACAACATGTGACCTTGAGAAGGTCGCTTCTGGCGAAGGTTTTATCCCCCAGCTGCAGTCCTAGTAAGTAAGACCTTGGTTACACTTTACACTGTATAACTATATTGGTTAGGAAGGGTTGATTTTTTTTTTTAACCTGAAATAATGATACAGGGGAGAGCCCTCGTGTGGACATAGTTATATTAGTGTGAAGGTACCTTATACGGATACAGCTTATTCCCCGTCCTGTATGCAAATAGTTATGTGCTATGTGTACATTCACACTAGGGTCTTTGTACCATTTTAACTCGACTGCATGCAGTGCTCTTTTCTAGTGTAGACAAGGCCTGCGTGTCTCTGGGTCTCTGCTTTGTCATCTGTAAAGTGGGGGAAATAGAGCTGGCTGAGAATTTTTGACCCAAACTTTATTTTTTTGGTGCAAGATGAAGATTTGGATCAGCTGAAACATTTCACAAATTTGCATTGAGTTTGGCGAACCGTTTTGGTTTAAAAAAAAAAAGTCAAAACGTTTTGTTTGAACATTTTCTTAACCAAAAAATGGACTTTTGGATTCAAAATTTTCTTTAAAAACATTTTCAAAATAAAAGTCAAGGGAAAAGAAGCTGGAAACCGAATGACATTTTTTCGACTTTTTGATTTGCCCAAAATTCCCCAACATTTTGGTTTGGGGTCGGCCCAAAATGATTTTTTCCCCCAGGACTCCTAGCGAGCCAAAAAATCCATTATTCGTGCAGCAGTAAGTGATAAAAATACTTATCTACTGTCACAGAGCCTTAAATTGCACCTAGGAGTCTGGTGGCACCACAGACTAACACGGCTACCCCCTGATACTTAAATTGCACCTAGCATGAAGGAAGAATAATACTGGGGTCCTGCAAACGAGACCGTCCTTTCTCCTTTGGTGGAGGACGGAAAGGATCAGCAGGACGGAGGAGTTGTTTATTATCATTCTTTATTTTATTACTGACGTTTTCTGTTGAAACTGAACGATTCAAGAGGTTGAAGTAGCGTTTGTGAGGCCAGGTCTGGCCTGGACTCTCACAAAACTGAGCGGACATTTTCCCCGCAGACCATTTCAGTTTTGACAAAACCCCAAATTTTTCCTTTTGGAAAAAATGTTCATGCAGTTAATTCCTGCCAGCTCTGACTCTGTGCAGAGACGTTAGTTCCAAAGCGCCATCCTGGGATGGGGAATCCTGGGCTCAGAGAGCCGCCCCAGCCGCCCAGGACCCCAAATTTGCAGTTTCTCATTTTCAGCCCTCATGGGAGAGTTTGCACATTATTGCGGGGGAAGGGGGGTGTCAGGGGGGTACCACCCTGATGCTCATCCTAATGTGAACCCAACCTCTTACCTGACTGCCCTGGCCAGGGCCTGCTCCTTCCTGTCCTCACAACTGAAGCAGTTAAATGGCCCATCACACCCTCTCTGCTCCACAGTTTATCAGATTTTCTCCTCTCCCCCAGTTTAGCCTGGGCACCGTCTCGGAAGCTTTCTCTGGTCTCTGCCACAGAGAAATCCCTGCGGATGCTAATGCCACCTCCCCAACCTTGTCACGTCCTAGCACAGAGAGCACTTAGCTGTGGCAGGAGAAATGGGGATGGGGGGGGGGGGTTACAGTCCTCAGAAATAACAGGCCTCGGCTAGTGAAATTCATGCTCTGTCAGAGCCTCTCCTGCTCCTCTGAGTCACGGGGAGCTGGAGCGGTTTGCCTGGGAATGGATCCAGAGATTATGGAACTGGCACTCTGCCAGGAGAGGGGCCCACGTTACATACGGGGAAACTGAGGCAAGGTGGGGTAGGGGAGATGACTTGCCCAAAGTCACCGGGGAAGTCAGTGGCAGAGCTCGAAATAGAACCCAGGAGTCCTGATCCGCCCCCCCTTTTCTGACCACCCTCCCTCTAAACGCCGGGGACGGAACCCAGGAGTCCTCTTTCACTTGAGCTCTAACCAGTATCATGACCGGGGGGGGGGGAGACTTTCTGGTTTGATATCCATGGGCGTGAGGGACCCTTTTCAGGGAAGCTGTCTGAGTCTGTGGTCCCAGCTTTGCCTGTGGGTTGTAACATTTCACATCTTGTGTCTATGTTTTTCCCCCAATCCCAAGCCCTATTTTTAAAACTGGCATGTTGGAAAGTTTGACTTTTATATTTAGCCAAAGTTCCATCCCGTGCTTACTCCCCGAGCTCTGTCGCTGCCTTTGGTGCCCAGAGGCTGCTGACAATATTATTTCAGCCCAAATATTTGTCCACTAAATCATGTGCACAATTATGGCGATGACCCTGGACGAGAGCGATCTATTTTTAATGCCTGCTCTTGGTGTGTACCATGCAGGGAATAATGCGGAATGCCGCCAAACCGTTAAGAAAAACCAACCCCTCCAAGCAATGCTCACCACACCCACAGCTGGCGTCAGACCATCTCAAATCTAGGCTTTGTAAGAGACCCCAGCTCTTGATCCTTTTAGAAAATGGTTTTCTAATTAGTAATAATTCCGTTTGTGTATTTCATTGCTGGTTCATTTCTATAGCGACTCAGGCTCTGTGCTTTGGGGATGGGGCTGTCTTTCAGTTTTGTTTGTACAGCACCGAGCGCGATTGGATTCTGGGCTGTGACAAATAAATAACAGCAATATTAACCAAACTAGGTAGGGAGTGAAATGCGAACTGCCCCTTTAAGAAGAAGGAGGGGGCACTTGGCGCGGGGCCTTTCCAGGGGCCAGTGTGCAGGGTGTACTGCTGTGGGGAGTGGTTGGCACGGAGCTGGGGGACGAGGACTCAGCTTCGCCACTGAAGTCCGCGGAGCTTTGCTGCTTTGCACCAGCTTGGGGGCTGGACGACTCAGGGGTCGGCAATGCGCTACGGAGCCTTTCGCTGCGACGTGGCGGGTTCAAATCCAGGCCGGGCTGGTAGGGGGCAAAAGCCAGCTCCAGCTGAAACCTCTTTGGGCAGCCCCTGGGTGCAGTGAGTTTGGCGGGACTCAGCCCACGAGTCAGGGAGGGCTGCTGACGTTCTGGAAAGCTGCGGGCAGGGTTGAAGAGGTCAGGCTGGGCTCACTTCTGCCCCCTGCAGCGGTCCCTCTATCCTAGGGACGAGGGAGGATCACGCCAGGGGCCGGTTTGCAGGGGGAGCTTGTGATCCATGCCACGCACTCCTGTGGCTGAACAGAAGCCGGGATGTCCATCTGGCACCTCGTCCCAGCTCCAGGGGGCTAGTGCAGCCGCCACCTCTTCATCCACTGGGGGTGACCCAGCGGACGGAGCGAGAGCTGGCGAAGGGCTACGAGCATCGGCCAGGCAGGTTGGACCCAAGTGATTGCTGGAAAGAAAGGGTGGAGGCTGCTTTGAAGTAGGGCTGTGGGAAAGGGGTTGGGGAGGGGGAGACACTGTGGGTCAAGGCGAGCGAGGAGCATGTGATGGAGCAGGTGGATTAGGGGAAGGGCCGGTTAACTCCCTCTGAGCAGGAGAAGAGTGGGGATCTCATTTGGGGCAGCACGGCCTTCTGCTCCTACACTGGCTTTCATCTGGGGAACGGAGGCCAATGCCGATTCCGAAGGGAGAGCGCCTTGCTGTCACCCACAGCGCCCCCGACCACCACGCTGGGGCAGCGGGGTCCGCACCGGCTTAGGAGTGAGATCTACTGAGTCACCAGCACACAGCCTGCGTCACCTGTGGCTGTCTCGCACCCTGGCCTGACCCTGCTGAGCTTGGGAGGTCTGCCGGAGATCACAGCTGGAGATGGGGTCACTGGAAAAGTCACCTCTCCTGAGCCAGCGTGTTCTGCTGACTCATGTGCTGGGGAGGGCAAGTGGGCCCGGGGAGACAGAAAGCAAGAGAGGTTTCCTGGCACTGATTACTCCTGGGTACGGAGCCGCCGGCTGCATCCAAACCCCCGTCCCCATAGCACCAACAAAACACCGTCTCTCTTTTCTGCCTGTCTCTCTCTCCTTTCCATGTGGAGGGCAGGGGCTTGCTGGCTCGCCTTCCGCGCGCTCCTCATGGCCTGTGAATGCTGATGAGAGTAGTGCCGGGCCTCTCCCTGGCCACGGTTCGCTCTCTGCTCTGTCTCATAGCGTGTGGGTTTTGGAGTATTTGCTTTTACACTGGCCGTTCCACAGGGGCAGCGGGTGCCTCTGATGGACCGCGCGGGAGGTGACGTGAACTGGGTTTGAACATCAAATGGGTTTCTTCCATGAACAGCCGAAGCGAGGGGTCTTTGCATCTTCCGGAGACTAAAGAGGCCGTAAGCGGAGAAGACAGAGAGGATACCTGGGCATGCTGAGGTGCAGCAGGGGGGTGTAGGGGAGTGTACACACAAATGTGTGTGAGATTGGCCCCCAGGCTCATGTGTGCCTGTGTGTGACCAGAATGTGTGTGAGATCAGCACCAGGCCGGGGTGCGTGACCACCGCTCGGTCTCTGGGACCGTGTGTGCACAGGGCCGCATCAACACAGAGAGAAACTAGGCACGTGTCTAGGTCCCAAATCTGGGTGGGATCGGGGGCAAAATATGGGGAGGGGGGTGGTTGTTTTTTTAAACTGCTCCCGTAGTTATTTCGGTCGTCTGCCCCCGGATCGCAGGCAGCCTGTCCTTTGTCACTGGCAAGCACGCCACCGAACGCCCCGAATTTCCTGTGCTCGGTAATTCAGCGTGTCTAGGGGCTGCGTATGCGGGAGCATCGATTCCCCCGCGGTCTCTCCCAGTGTCAGATTCCAAGGCAGCATGACAAGGTAATTTTTGCTTGATTTCCTCCTTCCCCCCGTTTAAAGCAACTCCGCTCCCCAGCCCTGTAATTACCCCGACAGTGCTGCATGGAGGGTGGGTTCCACTGGCAGCGTTCTGGCGGCGGGCGGGGGGAGAGCGGCGTGCCGGGGGCACGAATGCCGGGGTTGTAATTATCTCAGGCAGCCATGTCACTCCCACTTGGCTGGAAGGAGCTCAGTGCCTCCAGAGGGCTCTGGGGCAGCATTCAGCAGGTCCGGGTGGGTGCAGACAGACAGCAGCGTGCAGGGAGGCGCTGGCATAGCTGTGTGGTTCCTTGGCTCCATGCTGCCTGCCCACTAGGGCTAAGTGCTGGTTGAGTTGCAAGTGGGAATGAGAGAAAGAGAGAACCTACATTTGCCTAACGTGTGTGTGTGTGTGTGTGTGTGTGTGTGTGTGTGTGTGTGTGTGTGTGTGTGTGTTG